GAGATGGGATGGTATATCCAAAATGACAAACTGTTCCTTTTCAATAGCAGGTAGAAGATGTTGATCAAACTTTGATGCTTAGACATATTCTTTGATTTGGGATTTTGTTGGTGATATAAGGCTACAGACAGTTTTAGTGAATGAGTGACGTGGTTTTATTATAAGGGAGATATAGGTTTACAATGGGTAGATCTGCAACTACAACTTTTTCAGAATCGGGAAGATAGGATATTTCATAAAGGAAGTCAATTTAAGAAGCATTAGATTTTCGAAGAGAGGTAGATGGAGATAGTATAGAGGAGTTAGAAGATTCAACAGACATGATTTACAAAGTGTTCTTCCAAATTTCTTTCAAACTAGATAACCCTAATCAGAAATAGTAAGGACAAGACAACAACATGGCTCTGGTACCAATAAAGTGGAGAGTTTTGTCTCGGTTGAGGTTCTTGAGTTCTGGAGGGATTGGATTTCATCCAAACTATCCTTTTTTTTCACATTGTTTCATATGATTCCACAACAAGAAGTCTCAAAATTTTCAAAAGAATTGCTTTGTGTCTTGTGGTATTTATTAGGACTTTATCAAATTGTAATCTCTTTTAATATTAGTGAATCTCTTGAATGGTTTAAAGAAATCGGTTTTTGAGGTTATCTCAAAAGCTGACAATTTCGAGAAACCCTTTTTGAAGTCAAGAAATTCTTCGAATGGTTTTATCCTATTTCTCATCAAACAAAAATATTTTGAAACATTTTCTTTAAAATTCAGAGACCCGAGAACTTCTTAGAACAATGTTTTTGTAATCTTGGTTTTTCAAAGACAAGGTTATTTCACATATGCAGGTTCATATGAGCATTTTTCTCATGCTAAAGAATACGTAGTCCAACCTTTCAATCTACACCAAGATTAGGAAAGGTATCCAAAGGAGTTTCAAAGGAGAATGGCCAAAATCAACCAGACAATTCTTCCCCAAATTTGGCCACACATGGATGATGATGCTCCATGGAAAGTTTTGCCTTTGGACCATGCAGCCAGGATCGAGTAGGATATTAAAAAACATGGAGAATCACAGTGTCAACTCTTTGGACAGATATTTGGTCACTATCCATCTGCTTTATGGGAAAATAATATGACCCATTGGAACCAGCTTTTCTTAGGAAGGCTACACCAATGTCTTGGAGAAACGTTTGGGTATCCAGAAACAATACCAAAAGGACAACAACTTCGTGAAAATCTTTGAAATGAATTAATGAAAATTGAAAATTGATAAAATGGATGAAGACAAATCAGGACCAAGCAACCAAACTTCAACTTCAAAATATCTAGACCTAAATAGCAGTGTTTTCCAGATCTCTTAAGATCCATATGACTATGGAACACGGTCATATGATTTTGATCCAACAGACCCAGATAATCTTGAAAAATTGGAAGAAAAACTCTTCGAAGAAAAGAATGATACAAAAAATTGGCCTTAGTAGAAACAATATGGACTCCCCTCTGATTTAGATTATTCAGATGTACCTGGACGAGCAGTAAATCTTGGAACACCATGATGACTCAGCACATGTGAAAATTTTATCCTTTTGTCCTTTGTAATAAATGTCCTTTTTAAAAGCAGACTCTTTGCTTTTAAAAGGTACTTTGGCGTCATGTAACATTATTATACTTGTGCAGGACCATTACCCTACTTTAACAAAAGCAGAGGTAAGTCGTTTGTCTTCTTGTGTAATTATTATCTTTGTATCAGTTATCTTATCCTACTTTATCAAAAGTAGTGATGAGTCATTTGTTCTATTGTAAAATTATTGTATTAATGTCGATTGTATTATCATGAATGAAGGGTCTCCTCCTCTATATAAGAGGCACTCCTTCATTGAAAGATAGATTTGAGTCCAGCTCTTTTATTAAATAAAAGAAGTGTGTTCCTTATCTCTATGAGTATCTAAAACCCTTTCTTGTTCTTCCAAAGTCTTGACGACTGAGAACATCATGTCACATTGATTGTTAATGGGTAAGCAACAATTGCCTACAAATAACATTATTATAATCCAAAAAGGTTACATGGTGCAGTAGTCCAAATAAGACTCAGATGAATACGAAAAAGAAATAAGAAAAAGAAAAATAAAAAATACTGAATGATTTTAAATTGGGAAATTGTGCTATTGGTCCCCAACTGATTACTTGAATAGTAATTTGATTTAAAAGTTTGAAAAAGTAACAAGTTGATCATCAACATGTTAACATAGCTGCATAATTATACCAATGATCGAAACCATCAAAATTTGTTATAAATTGTTGCATGACCCTAGTGTTCAAATTTATGAAAATTTTATTTTATTTTTTTAACAAAATTTGAACCAAAGGCACATCTCATGAGGATATCGTGATAAATCAATAAAGATTTTGATTTTAGACTGTTTCATTTTTTGAGGATTGGTTGTGTAACTATTATGAAATGTTGGAGATCAAATTGCTCATTTTGAAAGTTGAGAACCAACTTATCATTCTTTTGATATGATTTATAGGGTGATTATATTCATATTTTTTAACATATGTTACATTTTAATTACATTAAAGATCTTCAATTTTTATTCGTTGTGTCATAATTAGCTCTTGTTTGTGCTCCATTAATTTTAAAATTCCTCTCTCTCTCTCTCTCTCTCTCTCTCTCTAATTACATATTTTTCAATAAAATAATATTACATATAAATTCAAAACTTTTTTTTTTTTTTTTAACTACACATTCTTAAAAAAATTACTACTACAATATACATTTTTCTCAAAAACTTAATTATAATGGAGCTCATATAGGGGCTTATATCCTTAATTTTCTCATTATATTTGTATCTTTAACCTTTCATTGACTAGCAAACCTATGTCCTAATCATAATTTTCGTCCAAAAATACTGTTAGCATACTTTGAAATGATTGTTTAGCATCTGCTTGACAAATTGATAAATGGTTTATCAAGAAGAATGGTAAGAGAAATAGTAGTTAGTATTAAGAAGTATGTGTATAATAATGAATAGTAATCATGATATATAGTTAAAATTAATGTTTGACTTTGATTAAATATATTACTCCTAATGTTCCTTTCTTATGAGTTAAATTGATAAGTTTAGAGTATCTCCAATGTATTCCATCTACATGGCAAGCAAGTTGTAAGACTTGTAATCTACATGATATTATTGTATAGTGAATAGACGAATAAGTCTAAAATTAGTCTTCAGTGAGTTCTTTATACAATCCAATATTAATGTCAACGTACTGAAACAAAAAATAAGTAAAAAAGAAATTAAAAAATGAAAGTCCTAACAAATAAAGGTGTGATGATAAACAGACGTGCAGAAAGGCAGAATAAAAAACAGGCTGACGTGTTAGCAAATTGTTGGCTCCTTTTTTTTTTTTTATAAAACTCTCCAATCATAGATCGATACATGTGCAACTTGTTTTTAACCCTGTTTATGTAGCAAAACTCAAAATAAAGAATCAAGTAAGTTGCTGAATCAGCATGAATAACAGATCTTCAAGATCTAAATGGAATTCAAAGCAATATCTATTTTTATTTTTTTATTTTTCAGAGTTCATTTAGCTCCCATTTGGCCCCATTCTCTTTCTCATTTTTTTTCTCTTTCTTCTTTTCAACCACATAATCTTCTATAAAATAATATTACACGTAAATAAAAAAAAATCATTCATTTTCAACCAAGCATTTTTAAAAAAATATTATTCCAACCATTAAAATTTGAAAAGAATGGAGGCCAAACGGGAGCATAACTTGCATCGAAGAATAATATTTTGCTTCTTGTATTTTAGTTATATGGCAAGAATATTTTAGCAATCCATGAATGCGTTGGCAATACTCTTTCCTTGCTACTTCAAACAATGATTCCAATGAAAAAAAAAATTTCTTTTCATGTCACTCTTCCAATATGGTGTAATAGCACAGGTTAATCAACATATATATTCATAGATTCCTTCATTTCTCTCTATTGACGTTAGAGCCAGTATCCTTTTCCCATATCATAAATTTGTACACACATTCTTCAATGCCTACCTTGTCATTTCAATCCATCTCAACTGTACAACGCTCACATCCCAAATCACAACTTCGAATAATTAATATAAAAATACGAATAAATAAATAAAAAAGACTGAAATGGAAGCTCAAAGAATATTTTTTCAGCAATTTCTAGTTAAAATTATGTGAAGTCATTTAAAAACATGAAGATTTCCCCACAGGAATCCCCACTGACTTAAAAATAAAATATATATCTCAAAATTTATAACTGGTGACCTAAAGACGGCGTGAATTTCTTCATCCAGATACAATGAGCATCACTAGGGTCCTCTAGATGAACTTATCTATTCTCGACGATTTATTAGAGCCTGGTGGCCGGAAGTTCTCTAGCTGTAGGTTAGAATTTGAACGGATTTCATTCAATACAGAATCATCCTTTTCCGATTTAATTGTCTCCAAGATACTACCAAGGACTTCAGCAGCAAGCCCGGTTTCAACAAGCTGCCCTCTTTCTTCCCCGCCATCGTATATCAGCTTTCCAATTTCAGAAAATGAAATGACATTCTCCAATATGACTTTTGCAAATATTCGGCCAAGGAACTCGGCTGCTTTAGGGGCATCATGTATGGTATCCTCCAAGCTAGCAAGAACAGCTTCAAACCTGTTCAGAACAGTGAGAATATGAACAGAACCCAGTCAAAAGATGATTCTCATATACAAGTTTACACTACTCATCATAAACCAGACATGGCGTACCCTTCGATGAGCTGATCTTGACTTATCATGTTGCTACGAGATTTGGTAAGATTAATAAGCAGCTTTGTTAGAAGATCCCTCTCCATGCCCTTCCGCTCAAAAGAATCAGTAACCCAGATAGAGATCATAGTTGGATAGAAGCTCGAGGCATTCAAGTCTTTGATGCAGAATGCAACTTCATTCTCATCATTTGCACTGAAAAGACACGTAATCAATTTAATCTAATCAAATAAGAATAATCCTAATAAAAAAAGGTTTAAGAAAGGAATAGACAGTAAAGAACCAGGGAACTAATAAAATCTGATATTCACCATACTAATGTTCAACTAGAAAAAAAAGTCTACTAACACAATTGAATGGAGTGATCAAAATGGTTGATGTGTGTTAAAATTGAAAGAAAGGTATTATTTTCAAAGGTTCTGCGAGACTTTTTAGGGATCCATATAATTGTCAAAAAGAATATAACATTCCATTCAAAAGGCAAAACAGATTTCCCATATACCACCGTAAATCCAAATAACATTCAACAGATAAAACACAGCAATCTCCTAATAACATGTAACAGGAGAAGAGAAATTGCAACCAGCTCTACATCTTTCGCTTACAAGAAAAAGATCCAAAGCAGCTATTCATCATATCTAATGACCACGATTATTTCACAAAACAGCAAAATTTTAATGGCACACAGTTACCTAAACTCTCACTTATGAGAAATTGTAATAGTATTGTCCAAGAACTTTGTGATAAAGCACAGGCATAGAATCTAAACGAAAAAAGATAAAACTTAATAGGTTGTAGATTTTCTTGTTTGTGTGCAGATAACTACCCTTCCCTCTTGAATTCTAATCGACAGCAACCTCCTCAAATAAACAAAATTTGCACGAGGTCGAGTACAAGAATGGAACAAAATTTTCATTATTCACGTCCAGGTTCTGTATCAAATGAGCATCACAGTTCAAAAGTCATTGTTCCAGTACCTACCTGAGAAACAGATGCAAACAAGGTTACAAACATGACCATAACTACCCAAATATTAAAATCAGAAATGTATTGGCCTTTTTAATACCTAATCATGGGCAATATGCATATGCATAACTACACGAGTAGATATATGCATGCAAAAAAGCGTCTGGCCTAAAAAATGGAGTTTCCAAAAATAGAGAGCACAAGAACGCCAAAATATTCCTGATCAAACATATGGCTTTCCAACTTTAAACTTGTATTTGGCATTTGTTTACTTACTTTTTGAAATAAAAAATAAAAATAATACAAATACAAATTGTGGCATCGGTAGGAATTTTTTAGCAATACATGAATTTCCCTCTAATTTTTCAAACTAATAAGAAATCAAGTGCCAACATATTGTTCGCTAGAGATCAAGGCCAAACTGAGTCATTAAACTGTAATTGGTTTTCTTCTAGGGTAATGCTATGTGTACAGAATGGTGTAGACATAGCATTACACCCCCTCACATGGAGGGAGGGGCCCACATACAATAAAATATTCGTGGGCCCCCCTCCATGTGAGAGGAGTGTAATGCATTGTATACACCTCATAGCATTTCCCTTTCTTCTATGCCACTCTTCCACCAGCATGAGAACAATTTTAACACAATTCTCCAAAATATGATCTCACAATTACTATACGACGGGGACATTGAGACACCTTTATAACATAGATAACCAGATTTCAATTAAAATCTATTTGCAACAGCACACATCACAAGTTCCAACAAAATCCTACTAAAATAATGCAGAAGAATATCTATGCTCAACTATAAATTATACTCAACTATCTAATATATCAATCATTGATGGCATTAGATTAAAGAATGTAGGTATGATCCTTATTAGGATCATAGGTATTGTTTTATGCAGCACTTACCCAAGAAAAAGAAGAAGAAGATATACTATCAGCTATAATAAAATGATTTTGCCAATTCTCAGTCATAGTTACATGGCTAATAGAAGTTCGTTCTCAAAGATGAGTTGTTACTCGATCTCCAACAATACAAAACGAGGTGAAATAACAGAAAGGATATATAGCATTGAAGAATTTAACCTCTTTATTAAAATACAATAACAGGGCAGGGAAATCAGTGGTTATTCCATATCCTTTTATGTTTCTTTTCATATGGATCTGTAAGCTTAACTGTATTTGCATCTTGGAGCGAGGACATCTTGCCCTTTTCCTTTCTCATTAATAATATCTCATGTGCATATCTGTGGTTTAAACATCACAAGACAAGTATGAAGCACCAGCAATCAGACAAAATGATACCTGTAGAATTCTTTGATTGCAGACAAGGACTTATCCCGCAAATGCTCTTCATCATACATCTCTTCCGAAGAAACGTTTGGCATAAGAGTTGGGGGGGCGCCTAGTGTAGTTGGAGAAGTAGGCAGAGATCTATCAAAACCATGATCTTTATGTATGACATCTCTGTTTCCATGGCTCATGTTCCGTTCTTGTGGATGTGATTGGTCGTACATTGACGGACTAGTAAACTTGTCTGGCAAATATCTTGGCGTGTGATCTTCCCTTTGCCCATATGCTGTACGTTCTGGCATAGAACTGAATCCATTTAGGCCAGGTCCAATTCTTTGTGAATCCCCAGAACTTGCCATCTCGGCCAAGGGAATGCTAGGCGCTGGTGGCAACCCCCTGAAAGCCATTCCCCTTGCGAGTCCACCTTGGGGCCCAAGAGTTACAGTATCGTGACCAACGAGTCTTTGAGGCAGAGGAACAGACATCCTGTTCTCAAAGGAATGTCTCTCCTCCAATCGAACATCCTGAGAGCCATAACTGCGTGCATGTGGGGAAACAGCACGATAAACACCTATCTGGGAACTTGGAGAAGATAACATACCGGGACCTCTAGGAGAAAGCTCCATAGGTGGACCCCTTCTATTAGAAGTGCCAAAGCTGGGAGCACGAGACAGCCTGCTAGTTTGGGCCTGCCGTTCTTGAGCAGCATCTCTGTGCACCTCCTCAATCTTTTTCGGACCTTCAACTTTCCTCCTCTGCTGCCATTTATTCTTTCTCAGATCTATTGCATCCTTCAGCATAAACCTTACTCTGGACGACAGTCTCATGTTATTTGACAACTGCAACATCCTATCAAAATAGGCATCAATGTGCTCCTTGGCTCTGGAATGATCTATCATCTCACCAATTGTGCTCATCAATTTGCACAAAGCTTCAACATTTTCTTCATCAGGATTCTGATATTGACCCAACAACTTCCTTATACACTCGTGCATTATTTTCTCCGTCAGCATTTTTTTCTTGTACAGTTCTCCAATTAATCTGATATTACCCAACATGCGTCTTCGTGCTCGGAGTCTCTTCTCCTCTCTTGCCTCTTCTGACTGTTTGGCTTCACCTTCCTCATCTGCTTTATTAGCCTCCTCTTCTTCTTTTTCTCCTCTCTCAAATTCTTCTTGACATTTGTTCAAGAGTAATCTCTTAAAAGTGATTCTCTCATTGTCCACACTCAAATCAGGCAACTCTGCAGCAAGGTGAAAGCAGAAGTTGGCATACATCTCACAAAAGGTGGGTTCTGTCAAAGCTTTATCAAATATTTGTGCAATCACCCCAGAAAGGGTGACAACATTGTCAATGTTCACTTGCTTGACTTGCTCAAATAGTTTTTCAAAGTTTTGGGGAGTGAGCTTGTTTAAGATAGATTTCAACTTCCTCTGCTTGGCTTCTTCCTCATCGTTAATTTTACCTATCTCATATTTCTTCTCAGCTTTATGCATCACCTGCATTGGTGTCTGAGGAGAAGGCATTAAACCCTTCTGGAAAGCAGTTCCACGCTGCCACCTATCAGAATCAGAATTATTCCTTTGCAGTCCTCCCTGTGGAGGCAGGGATTGCATTGGCCCAGAGAGGATACCCCCTGTATACTGACCGGGTGTTTGTGCACGTGGATTCCTTAGAACACCATAATTAATTCCTTGGCTAGGTCGAAGCCCCATAACATTAACAGCACAACCAATATCCATCCGCATCTCCCCTCGCCCCGACACATGAGGGCCAAGAAATCTACCCCATTTGTCCTCATCTCCCATGCCAATTCCACGACGATCTGGTCTATATCCCCCATTTGGCCTGTCAACATTTCGCCCAGAACTAGGGTATGGCCCATGTGAATCATTGACAATAGAGACCATCAGAGCATCAGCTAGGTCTGAAGTTATTTCAAAACCCTCGGGAAGATCAGTGCATTGCTCAGCAAATTTCTGAAGGAAATCTCGGGAATACTTTTTAGCCATTAATCCAAAGCCGTCTTCATCATTGACCTGTTTTTCATTCTTTAAAGTTTCTAACTTCGGAGTAGAGATGTCTGCAACATCTTCCCAATCATCCGGCTCTGCATTACTCTGAGCAGGTCTATCATATAACGTCCCATTGTCCTGTGTCATATTAACTGTTTTTTTCTTGTCGCTAGTGCTAGAAGTGGTTTCTCTGTTTTCTGCAGAGGTTACAGTTTCCTTCTTTTCCTCTGGACCCTTATATGCCATATAAAGATCAGAACTAGTACCAGCAGCTTCTGCTTTTCTACATAATTCTTTTAGTTTCTTCTTCGAACGGGGCACAGTACTTGTTGCTGCATTTTGCTCTGACAAGACTTTCTCCTTGACGCCTGACTGAGAAGGAAGCATGCCACTACCAATATTCTCACTCCCTTCATTTTCGCTTTCCAACACACATTCAGGAGGAGATGAAACTGAATTTGGTTCAGACCCTTGATCTACCATAGCAGAGCTTGTAGCAGTAACTTTTTTAGTATCCATACTATCAGGCACTCTTAAAGAAGCATCTGAAACACTGGTTTTATCATACTGAGCAGACAAACCAATCACTAATGCAGGACTTTCAGCATTTTGACCATCTGACATGAAAGTCGATCTAACTAAATTATCAGACACCCTATCATCGTCTGAGCGAGAACCTGAAGATTCTTCCATCTTTTTTTGGGCAATTTCTAATAAATCACCATCCTGACTGGAGAATGATACCTCTGAGCTTTCCTCAATTTTATTAATGATTTCCAAAGATTCTAAAGAAACAGACTTCAAAGATGTCTCCAAACTACAGTTATCAGGTTCAGAACTCTCAGGTGATATTAGTTCCCCTAGCTCAATTTTGTCCCTTGCCTCGGGCTTTATTTGTCTTCCATTTGCAGTTTTTGTGGCAAAATTTTGAGTGGCTTCCTCAGCACTGTCACTTCTTAAATCAGAAGTTCCCACAGCAGCAGATATAGTTGTTGACGGCGAGTCCTTAGCCTTTTCCAACATCACACTACTTCTCAGTGAAGTAGCCTTAGCTTCAAGAGGTTCAGGTTCTGACAAATAAGTAAGGAAACTTGAGGATTGTCTACCAACCTGTAAATGGATGTAACATATTGCTCATAAATCATATTTAACCGCCTCAAAGTGACAGGATATATACAATTGGATAAATACACAAGCAATAAAATACCTCATCTTTCAAGCCTCCGTTACCTAATTTTCTAGGATCAGAAACAACAGCTACTTCATTTTTTGCTTCTTCCACAAAGCTAATTGATGTCAATGCAGAAGCAGCATTAGGAACAGAATCATAAGTTGAAGTACTGGACGTTTCACTCTCCACAGTGATGGGACCTGACACTCTAGCAGAGTGCTTGCTTATTCTGTGAGTCATTGTAGAAGACGTTCCTAAAGCATGCTTGGGCTGCTGCAAATAGCTTGAAGAAGAAGGCCCAGCCTTTTTTCCGGAGCGAACTGAATCTTCTCCATGTTGCCTTTGTTTCAAAGATTCTGACATTCCAATGGAACTTATTGTAGATGGTACTATATCTTTCTCACCATAAGAACCACTGGCTGGTTTCACTGTCACCTGCAGAAAAATTGAAAGACAGTTTGCACGATCATTCCAACTTCATCCTAAAAAAATGTTTGGGCAATGTCATGCGGAGGATTCAAGGGTTTTATTAACAGAAAATGAGATGGCATCAAATGGAATCTTTGAGGAAGGACACTGCTGACCTGATTAGAGAACCATGGCAACTGAGTAGGAGGAAGCTGGCTGCTATTCAGAGGAGCAGTACTTTGAGCTGGAAAATATATGGAATCAACATTATAAGAATTAGGATAAAAGTTCATAGAATGATTAGCAGCATGTGATCTCGGAGCACTTGATCCATCGAGTCTCAATTCTTCATGAGTCTTAGGATGAGTAATCTTTACAGTTTTACGGGTCCCACTGAATTTTCCACCCTGCTGCGGCTGAAATTGTGGGGCCATATTAATTCCCATGTTCCCCAGCTGAGGGTGCAGCTGACTCAATTGTGATGAAAAGTTCAATTGCCCCTGGTGCATGACACCTGAAGAATGTATTGGGTGTGGCTGAAGACTTGAAACAAACATTGGCTGCTGAACTGATGGATTTCCCATAGGTAAAGGAATCGGCATTGACATTGGCATTGGTAATGACATGCCTGACATGACCTGAGAATGCATTTGGGGATTAGGTTCGCCATATTGAACAGAAGCCTGCGGCTGGTTAAATAGCATTGGCACAGTCATCCTGGGGGCAGGAAGTCCAAAAGGTTTCTGAGTTTGAGTCACAGGAGGCGCAGCTGAAACTTGCGCATCCCTCTTCAACTCGCAAACTGGCACAGGTGCAACAGTATTAGGTTGGTCAAGAACCCCTGCATCTTTCTTTGGCAGTTGCGGCTCGAGCACAGATGGAGTTGAAATTGCAGGAGCAGCTCTTAGAGAGTCACGAAGAGCCTGTCAGAAAGAATTAAAAGTCAATCCTCAATATTCTAGCAACCACAACTATAATGATGCCATTATTAAAACAGTGTGCAACCTGGAATTATATGTAACCTCAAACCAGGATCACAAACAAAAATCAAGCAATCACTGCCTAATTATGCTGTTGAGAGGTTCTCAGCTTGATAAATGCATGACGCATATTGCACTAATTGATATTTTTATAGGCAAAAGAAAATATTCAAAGATGCTACTATCAGAAACTGTGAGAAGGGTAAAAGCATACAGCATCACTGAAATGACAATCAATTGTTAAGACTTCATTTAGAATGAGCTCCGTAGCATTGACACTTTAACTAGGGTAGCGTATCTTTGCCCAACTTGTCGAATACTAACACTCTTCAGGCACTCTACCGTGATCATCTTTCCTTTTTTTATTAAAAATATTATACATTTTTATCTCAAAATTATTAGTAAATAACAAATAGAAATGTATATTTAAAAGATTTCAAGAAAAAATTAATAACAAGTGTAAAACTAAATTTATACTATATAAATACGGAATTTTAAAAAATTCAATCGACGTGTCGACGATATATCGTGTTAGTAGCTTTTTTAAAAATCACCTGTCAGAGTATTCGATACGATACGTGTCGGACATGTGTCTGTATAGGTGCATCACAGAGAATAAGGATAACGAACAGAAAGGAAGGAAAGCTCCCTTTTTTATGTGGACTAATATAGAAGGAGAAGGAAGAATAATGATTTTGCTCCCTTCAGCTTCTTTATATGATAGAAGCCCTCCCATCCCCTTCACCAAAACAAGAATTTATATCAGTAAAACCCTTTCCCTTTGTAACTTCATTCCCTTCCCTTCCCCTCCAAGATATATTAATATACCGTCAAAGAACCAAAGCACCACAATACTCCAGATAGTAACTCTTGATTATTTTAATATTTCTATCCCAGAAGAGGGATTCATGAGATTCTTATATTTTGGCAGTTGAAAGAAACCTCTGATCTGCCAGGTGAATAACTAGAAAGGAGAGAACCACGAACCTGATCTCTTTTCTGCTCATCCAAATTGGGTGGGGCAGAACTCGTTCGAGCGGGTACCTGCAAAATGTTGGGAGAAAACAAACCTTCTATCCTTCGGATCCAAGAGTTTATAAATGACATGACAAAACAAAAAAGAAGTAAAAATAAAAATGAAATATACTTTTGCCCTTCATGGTATTGACACATACCTGCATTGCATTCATAAAACCAGGACTTATGGATCCAAATTGTAGGAGAAATGGATTTGATGCATCTCCAGGAGCTAAGACATCAAAAAGAGTATTGCAAAATCATTAATTATGAGCATGGGAATATTAAAACTACCAACCTAACACTCTAATAAGAATGAAAAACAAATAAATAGATCAAACCACTTCCACAGCTTCAACTGTGCAGGACCAGTTTGCCATACCCTTTGCAGGTCTCGTGGGCGACTTGGAGTCAGAACTAGCTGTTGAAGCATTTGAAGTAGGAGATGCAGTAGACACATTAGAAGGAACTCTTGGAACAGCTCGGTTAACTTTCTGAGTTGAGGTGTCAGTCAACTTGACATCAGTAGTTGTACTTACAACTGGTGTGTTAGAAGCTCCCAGAACAAGACAACAAAAAAGAAAAATCACAATACATGAAAAGACATGAAAAGATGAAAAAAGCAAGAAAATCACTTCAAAATGCACATAAATAACTAATCAATCTAAAAAGGGGGATGAATCCTTAAACAATGCGATACGAAATTGAGGAAAAATCTCAGGTAGATATAAAAAGGTGAACTTTGGCGGAAAATAGACAG